AATGATCCTAACCTTGTGAGAATCTCCTGGTAGGCGAGATGCAAGTCTACAGTGGAATGTGCCAGTCGGCGACTAAATTTTGAGCACCAATCTGACCATCTTTCATCGGTTCGGCCGGTCACTGTCGCTTTATCAAAAGCGAAATCGTGGTACAGGTGTTGTACGTCACCATAAACTAAAGGCAGCTTGTCCTTACGGTTGATTGCAAGTTTGTGGTTGTGCAATCTTGTACCAAGGCGTTTGCCGTTTTCGCCAACGTAACTCGTATCGCAGTCTTCGCACGCTATGCTGTGGCATATAAATTGATATGCCGATTGAGGTATGCCTCAGCTGAGTGCATTGCTTTCGGGAATTCCCGGTATTTTCTGATTAGATAAGTGCCAACCCTCCGTGTGTTCTTCAACGCGAATTTCTGACCGGTTTCGGTGCGTTCATGGCCACCTGGGCTAAATGTTCTCGTCTTCTGCTGCGATCTGTCGTTCCCAGTTCGCTCGCCGAACCCACAAAGTCACAAAACTCTTAAATGGACAAAACACTTAAACGCCTAACGGAAAGAAATCTCCGAAGCTCTTGTTAAATCCTTAAAGCAAGATGAATCCGCCATTGCCAAAACTTTTGCCTTCCGAAAATCCATAACAAAACCAAATACAAGTATATTCGCCAGACGGTAGCGTCCGAAGGAGCGATTATCGAAAGAAAACTTAGTAGGGACAGTATACAAACTTTAACAGTTTCCTACCTTGGACTGTTTTTAAAGTTGCAAAAATTCCCTTAAGAGAATTTGTAAGAGTATTTGGCGAGCATACGTAGCTTTCGATAAATTCTCCTCGGACCACTATATTTATATAGGGAGGGGGTAAAAGGTAACATGCGGGCAATCATGTTCATCATTGCAGGTAAAGAAGTTATAGAAGCAGGGGTGGACGGTTGGCGTTGGGGCTGATAGTACTCGGCTGGTTACGAGAAAATGAGGGTTTGTTGAACCCGGACGGGGGGAGGGTGGAAGGAGGAGAAACTGGGGAAACATACAGGCAGTGGTGTAACCGTTGGCTATGTCAAGCTCGGGCCATGTAGGAGAGTCGTTTGCGCGCAGAAAACCGGCTTCCTCAACCGGACCGCGATTAATTCTGCTATTGCTAGCAAACGCTGACCCAGGGACTTTAGGTAGTTCGGTAGAACCTTATAAATTACCTAAAGGCTTCCTTAGGGTACACACGATGTCCAGAGTTAACCATGTTGATGCTTCTGACTTCACCTTTGCTCAGCCATGCTGAAAGGTGCTCCTGTATTCTTTTGGATAAGCTTCGACTCGTGTGACCGTTATACCTGCTCCACAGGAGCAAGTAAATGAGTAGATGCACATAGAAGTGGTCTGAGTGGGCAGTCCATACTTACCTTCGCCGTGCAGGACATGAAACCGCTGGGAAGATTCGTGATACGGTTTGGTTGAGATATCTGCTTAGGAATTCGTTTGTCGCATCCCCTTGAAAGGGGACTTTCAGCAATAGGGTCTTTTTTTCCACAGTGGGTGTGGTGGGTTTTGTCTCTCTCCCTCCCTCCCTCGCTCTCTCTCTCTCTTTCTTTCTTTCTTTCTTTCTCTCTCTCTCTCTCGCTCTCTCTCTCTCTTTCTCTCTCCATCGTATTCTTTATGATGAATCTGTCCAGATATACATTCTCTCGGAGCAGGTTCTGGATTTTCTGGAGCAATATTTCAATAGTGTCTGCCGAGCAGATTTTTTGGGCTCTTGGCGTTAAGTAGCGGACTATGTTACGCTTCTGTTGGATACGTACAAACTGTTGAGGTTTGTATGCTGTCTGGACCAGGTTTTCTTTAGATAAATGCTCCTTCGCACGCTACCGTCAGGTCTTCGACTTAGGAGGACATCCAGGTTTAGTATCAATCCAGCAGAAAAGTACTTTAGTCGGCTGCTTAACGTAACAGGCCAATAAGATTGCTCGGCGGACACTATTGGAATGGAGCTCAGGAAACTCCGAGACCTGCTTCGTGTGAACGGGTATCCTGACAGATTCATTA